GGAGCTGGCAGACAGGCAGGAAAGTTTATGTCTGCTGAAGATGTGCCACAGCCGCCCCTTCCCCAAGGTGCTGTGTCCCAGGGATATGTCAGTTTTATTTGTAAGCCCCTAACTGGGGCTACTGCCATTTTATTCAGAGGTGCCCTGCCAAGAAAGGAGGAATACAGAGACAGTCTGGCTACAGTGGCTTTGCTGAGAATGAGTTTGACAAATTGACAGAAGTAGAAAGAAGGTGGGTAATAACAAACTTCTCCAAGCTAAAGGAGCAGGTCCTAACCCAATGCAAGTAAGCTAAGAACCATGAAAGAAGATTAGAGGAATTGCTAATTAGAATAACCAGCTTAGAGAAGAACATAAATGATCAGATGGAGCTGAAAAACATAGCAAGAGAAGTTTGTGAAGCATACACCACTATCAATAGCTGAATCAATCAAGCAGAAGAAAGGTTTTCAGAGTCCGAAGATCAATTTAATAAAAGCATGAAGACAGGATTAGAGAAAAAAGAATGAAAAGGAACAAACAAGGCCTCCAAGAAATATGGGACTATGTGGAAACACCAAAGCTACGTCTGATTGGTGTACCTGAAAGTAATGAGGAGAATTGAACCAAGTTGGACTAAACACTCCTCAGGATATTATTCAGGAGAATTTCCACAACCTAGCAAGACAGGCCAACATTCAAATTCAGGAAATACAGAGAACACCACAAAGACACTCCTCGAGAAGAGCAACCTGAAGACACTTAATTGTCAGATTCACCCAAGGGTGAAATGAAGAAAAAAAATGGTAAGGGCAGCCAGAGAGAAAGGTCGGGTTACCTACAAAGAAAAGCCCATCAAACTAACAATGGATCTCTCTGCAGTAACCCTATGAGCCAGAAGAGAGTGGGGGCCAATATTCAACATTCTTAAAGAAAATAATTTTCAAACCAGAATTTCATATTCAGCCAAACTAAGCTTCATAAGTGAAGGAGAAATAAAATCCTTTACAGACAAGCAAATGCTGAGGGATTTTTGTCACCACCAGGCCTGCCTTACAAGAGCTACTGAAAGAAGCACTAAACATGGAAACGAACAGCCGGTACCAGCCACTGCAAAAACATACCAAATTGTAAAACCCATCAACACTATGAAGAAACTGGATCAACTAAAGGACAAAATAACCAGCTAGCAATCATAATGACAGGATCAAATTAACACATAACAATATTAACCTTAAATGTAAATGTAAGGTTAACAATATTAACCTTAAATGTAAACGTAAGGTTAACAATATTAACCTTAAATGTAAACCTTAAATAAACCCTAAATGTCCCAATTAAAAGACACAGACTGGCAAATTGGATAAAGAATCAAGACCCATCAGTGTGCTGTATTCGGGAGATCCATCTCACGTGCAAAGACACACTTAGGCTCAAAACAAAGGGAAGGAGAAATATTCACCAAGTAAATGGAAAGCAAAACAAACAAACAAAAAGAACAGAAAAGTAGGAGTTGCAATCCTAGCCTTTGATAAAACAGACATTAAACCAATAAAGATCAAAAGTCACAAAGAAAGGCATTACATTATGGTAAAGAGATGAATGCAACAAGAAGAGTTAACTATGTTAAATATATATGCACCACAAACAGGATCACCCAGATTCAGAAAGCAAGTTTTTGGAGACCTACAAAGAGACTTAGACTCCCACACAATAATATTGGGAGACTTTAACACCCCACTGTCAATATTAGACAGATCAATGAAACAGAAAATTAACAAGGATATTCAGGACTTGAACTCAGCTCTGGACCAAGTGGACCTAATAGTCATCTACAGAACTCTCCACCCCAAATCAACAGAATATACATTCTTCTCAGCACCACATTGCACTTATTCTAAAACTGACCACATTATTGGAAGTAAAACACTCCTCAACAAATGTAAAAGAATGAAAATCACAGCAGTGTCTCAGACTGCAATGCAATCATATTGGAACTCAGGATTAAGAAACACACTAAAAAATGCACAGCTACATGAAACTGAACAACCTGCTCCTGAATAACTACTGAGTAAATAACAAAATGAAGGAAGAAAAAAAATAAGTTCTTTGAAATCAATGAGAACAAAGAAACAACATACCAGAATATCTGGGACACAAATAAAGTAGTGTTTAGAGGGAAATTTATAGCATTAAATGCCCATAAGAGGAAGCAGGAAAGATATAAAATTGAATCCCTTACATCAAAATTAAAAGAACTAGAGAAGTGAGCAAACAAATTCAAAAGCTAGAAGACAAGAAATAACAAAGATCAGAGCAGAACTGAAGGACATAGAGAAACAAAAAACTCTTCAAAAAAAAATCAATGAATCTAGGAGCTGGCTTTTTTAAAAGATAAAAAAAAAATAGCTAGCTAGCTAGCTAGACTAATAAAAAGGAAAAGAGAGAAGAATCAAATTGACGTAATAAAAAATGATAGAGGGGATATCACCTCTGATCCCACAGAAATACAAACTACCATCAGAAAATACTATAAACACCTCTAGATACATAACTAGAAAATCTAGAAGAAATGGATAAACTCTTGGACACATACGGCCTCCCAAGTCTAAACAAGAAAGAAGTCGAATCCCTGAATAGACCAATAACAAGTTCTGAAAATGAGGCAGTCATTAATAGCCTACCAACCAAGAAATGTCCAGGACTTGACGGATGCATAGCCGAATTCTACCAGAGGTACAAAGATGAGCTGGTACCATTCCTTCTGAAACTATTCCAAACAATAGAAAAAGAGAGACACCTCCCTAACTCATTTTATGAGGCCAGCATCATCCCAATACCAAAACATGGCAGAGATGCAACAACAACAAAAAATTTTCAAGCCAATAACCCTGAAGAATATTGATTCAAAAATCTGCACAAAAATACTGGAAAACTGAATCCAATAGCACATTAAAAAATCAGGAGACAACAGATGCTGGAGAGGATTTGGAGAAACAGGAATGCTTTTACACTGTTTGTGGGAGTGTAAATTAGTTCAACCATTGTGGAAGACAATGTGGCGATTCCTCAAGGGTCCAGAACCAGAAATACCATTTCACCCAGAAATCCCATTACTGGGTATGTACCCAAAAGATTATAAATCATTCTACTATAAATACTCATGAACACATATGTTTATTGTGGCACTGTTCACAATAGCAAAGACTTGGAACCAACCCAAATGCCCATCAATGATAGACAGGATAAAGAAAATGTGGCACATATACACAATGGAATACTAGGCAGCTATAAAAAGGGATGAGTTCCTGTCCTTTGCAGGGACATGGATAAAGTTGGAAACCATCATTCTCAGCAAACTAGCACAAGAACGGAAAACCAAACATTGCTTGTTCTCACTCATAAGTGGGAGTGAATAATGAGACTACATGGACATGGAGGGGAATGTCATACACCAGGGTGTATTATGGAATGGGGGCTGGGGAGGGATAGCATTAGGAGAAATACCTAATGTTCTTGATGGGTTGATGGGTGCAGCAAACCACCATGGCACGTGTATACCTATGTAACAAACCTGCACATTCTGCACATGTACCCCAGAACTTAAAGTATAATTTTAAAAAAGGATCTAAATATTATTAGATTCATACTTTCAAACTCTAGAATCCAGTGTTTTTAGTATATTCAGAAAAGTTTGCAAACTTTATAACTATCTAATTGCAGCACATTTTCATCACTCCCAAATGGAGCCCCATATCTATTAACATTCATTCCCAATTCCCTCCATATTCTTACAACCAATAATCTATCTTCTGCCTCTACAAATTTTATTTTGTATATTTAATGTAAATGGCATAATAAAATAAGCAATCTTTTTGTGATAGGATTCTTTTATCTGGCATGACATTTTCAATGTTCATCCATGTTGTAGTATCTATTACTAATCATTCATTTTTTATTGCCTATTAATATTCCACTGTGTTCATATACCATATTTGATTTACCCATTCCTCAGTTTGTAAACATTTAGAATGTTTCTATTCTTTAGTTATGAATAATGCTGATATGAACATTCATGTACACATTGCCATGGGGACATGTTTTTAATTCTTGGGTATATACTACCAATGGAATTTTGCTAAGTTATAAGGTAACTATTTTATTTAACTTTTGAGGGACTGTCATATGGATATATTTTTAAATGAATGGTTGCTGGTATCAAATTGTTATAGGATTGAGATTTGTTGGATACATTTAAAATGCAAAAGTAACAGTGTTTTTTAAAAAGATATTATTTGGGGGATTATATACAAATATTTAAAATTACAACATATTTTAGACATTAATAGGAAAATGTAAGGAAAGCACATCTTTTTTCAAGATTAATTTACAAAGAGTGCAAGCAAAAATGTTTGAAAATGACTCTGTTGGAGAAAGTCAAGGGGTAAGCTTTTAGTCTTAAGAAGAACCTAATTACACATAATCAAATAAAAGTATTTTAATACTAAGGGACCTTGAAAATGAAATAATGATTGTGGAATAAAGTCAAAATAATTTTTAGTCCCCAAACTCATTGTTACCTTTATTTACAGTTTGAATAGTTATGAAAATTATTCTGAATGAATAAAATGACTAAATCTCTACTGTAGCATTGGAAGATTCCACTCCCACTCTTCTTTTTACAAACAAGAATGTGCTCATACCATTCCAGAGTTGTTCTTGTATGTTTGTGTTAGTCGTCTGTTTCCATGGTTAAGGCATCTTCTACATATTGTATACCTCTTATTATTTTATATTATTGAGTTTATATTCTGACTATGCCTTTTTACTACTTTAGGAAATTTATTTAGCTGGTCTGTTCTTCCGTTTCCTCACCTGTAGAGTAGTAGTAGTAGTATAGCTGCTACTGAGGAAACTGAAGAATAGTAGTAGCAGTAATAATAATAACTATTACTACTACTACTAAAATGTGTGTTATGTAATGTAGGGTCATTAAGCGTTAATGTGTATTAAGCACTTACCTGTGTAAGCATACTGCACCAAGGAATTAAGTGCATTTGGATCTACTCCTTCCATCCTAACCTCTTCTTGTTTGGCTTCAAGCACATCATTAGTAAACATTGCAGCAAAATAATCAGACACTGCACTGAGAACCAACCTGGAAACAGAGTTGCAGGAATTTAAATGAGTCAATAATTTCACTGAAAAGCACGACATGGATTCAGCAATTTTGCAACACTAGTGAGTCTGTTTTCTGCATAAAATCTTTACAGTTCAGTTAAGCATCGTGAAGTTAGGAAGTCCAAATAAACTGATCTTGTTTAGAGGGTGTGTTTGTGCTGTACTTTCCATCACCAATCTTTTCTAAGTTTGGCTCTTCTAAACAAAAGACAGAGAAGTGGAACATATGGGCTAATACTTTTCCAGTATAGGAAAATAAATATTTTAACAAATATTCCAATTTATGATCAATGTACTTACTTTTATTTCTAATTGCCCTACTCGAAAACCGTTCTGTATACCTAAAAATACTTGCCTATGGGCTGGGATTCGGAGGTGTCCTGCAATTAGTAGCACATCACACAGTTGTTTCTCTTTCAAGTAGTTCTCCATTTTACGAAGAGTCTGCTCTGCATGGTTTATAACATGGAACTGCTCCTCAGATCTCGTGGCATTCATTTCTTCAGAGTGTTGTGTATCTAATCTGAAAAGGGAGTAAAGATGAGAATATGGTTTATCATATAATTTTGTAAAAATTTTATTTTTTCTATAATGAGAGTACAAACATCTAGTGGAAATTTAGGCATATCAATTTCTAAAGGAAATATGTTGGATTAAAGTAAAATTAAAATTTGTTTTCCAACCTTTTTTTTCCAAGTTTTTATTGAGATGTAATTCATATACCATAAAGTTCACCCTTTTAAAATGTACATTTTAGTGGCTTTTAGTATAGTTACAAAATTGTGCCATCATCATCATTATCTAATTTTGAAATATTTTATCACCCTGACAAAAATCCCCAAGCCCATTAGCAGTTACTTTCAATTCTTCCTCCCCAGCTTCTGGCAATCACTAAAATATTGCTGCCTCTGTAGATTTGCCTATCCTAGATACTCTTGCCCTTCCAGACAAACTAAGCCATAGTGATGATTCTGTCCCTCCTCTTCTGTCAAGAGTCCTTTGCACTCTTCTAGTATGAACTATTTCTATATTGAAAGTACTATTTCTAGATTTTTTTTTTCTTGAGATGGAGTCTCACTCTGTTGCCAGACTGAAGTGGAATAGCAAGATCTCCATTCACTGCAGCCTTTGCCACCTGGGTTCCAGCGATTCTCCTGCTTTAGTCTACCAGGTAGCTGGGATTACAGGCATGTGCCACCACACCTGACTAATTTTTGTATTTTTAGTAGAGATGGGGTTTCACCATGTTGGCCAGGCTGGTCTTGAACTTCTGATCTCAGGTGATCCACCCGTGTCAGCCTCTCAAAGTGCTAGGATTATAGGCATGACCACCATACCCAGCCAGTTGTTTTTCTTTTGAGACAAAGTCTCTATCAGTCACCCAGGCTGGAGGGCAGTGGCATGATTTTGGCTCACTGCAACCTCCATCTCCTGGGTTCAAGTGATTCTCCTGCCTCAGCCTCCCGAGTAGCTGAAATTACAGGTGTGCGCCACCCCTCACACCTGGCTATTATTTTATTTTATTTTATTTTTTGGTAGATATGGGGTTTTACCATGTTGGCCAGGCTGGTCTCAAACTCATGACCTCAAGGCGTCCACCCACTGTGGCCTCCCAAAGTACTGGGATTACAGGTGTGAGCCACTGTGTCTGGCAATGCCTACTATATTGGGACTTGGTAATACATTTGTCGAGCACCTACTGCATGCCAGGCATTGTGCTATGTTCTAGGAATACAATCTCTACTTCAAGATAATTTAATACTCAATACAACCCTACAAGTTTTATATTATTACAGTATTTAACTATAATGACTACCTAACCTTACATTAAAGTGAAGTTTGCTGGTTAATATTTATATCTGAAATGAAACCAGAACTATGTACAATTCACAAACAGGTCTAGTGATAGTTATGTATAATCATAAAAAAAATGTCAAAACACTACCTACATTCTTTGATTTATATGGATATTATAATTATGTCAATTGGCAACAAACGGTTAGACGTGAATCAAAATACTTTAAAAAAAATGATTATGTCCTCAAGCTTCTCCCTGGGGTACTACTTACACATCAGAAACATTCCTCCAAGAATTTCAAGCCCAAGAATTTCATAGCATTCTTTACAATATCAATCCCATTTAGAAACTGTACATATTTCCACCTTTTATTTCTTAATATTTAGGCAAATGTGATGGCTTTTGCATTTACAATAATAAAAGCAAACAACCTGTATTTTCAACATTACACAATGGTGGAATTCAAATGTCAACACAAATATATATAGGCTTACAATTAGTAGGAGATGAAAAATTGAATGGTTGCATGAATGCACTTAAATATTTTGCTTGTTACATTTCTTGCATCCAGGCATCATTTTCTAACCCCCTCGTTAGGACTAGTTTTAGATCTCCTTAATTCCAATTCAGTCTGTGCTTATTTTAAGACAATTGGTCCAAGGTGATATTACTTCCTCTGTCTAATTCAATTACATTATCCCTCTTTAAATCTTCAGTCATAATATTGTACTGATAAGAAGGGATCATGGTATGAATAGCTCAAAAATTGCCTGCTACCTCCCTTCAGATGCACTCTTGTTTACTTGTTCTGGAAAGGAACAATTCCTTGCACCGCAGACTGAAAAGCATTTAGGTTGAACTTAACTCAAATTACTCTAATCATTTCTCTTTTCATGATGATTTAGTTCACATGAATTGAGTCAAACATTCAATGTTAAATTATTTTAGCTATCCTCATGTAACTGCACCATACATTAGTGTGGAACTTATTCTGAATATATGTATATGTTTGAGAAGTTTTGGCTAGGAAAAAATTTTACTCAGAATTTTCTTCATCTTAATTTGGTTAAGGACAAAAAATGTGTCTTCAATTACCTGCTAATTTAAGATGTTTTTATAGTAAATATATTAGATATTTATGTATGTCTTGGGCATTATCGAAGCAGAATGTAAAAAAAAAAAAAAAGCAAGAAAACCGCCACCACCATTACCAACAAACTGGTCTATCGATAACTTATCTGATCATAGTAAGTTCCCAGAGATCATAAATTACAGTTCTCTTGCCTACATTTTAGACACTATGATGCCAGATCACATGTTATAATGGAAATCACTTCATTAGAGAATGTTCATCACTTTTCTTTATTATGGGCTAAGTACGAGATTGTGACTTGGGAGGCAGCATGGTGGAATGAAAAGAGCCTATTATATGAAGTCATAATGCCTGTATTTAGTTTCAGCCCTTGCTACTTACTGGATGAGTGATCTTGGGAGAGTCATCTTATCTTTCTAAGCATTAATTTTCTAATTTTCTGCTACAAACTGGGGATGAACATAATATTAGTATTAAAAGCAATAATGCTTATACCACAGTGATTTCAGAGGAGTAAATGAAAAACTTGCCATGAAAATTCTATGTACAAGTGTTAGGTCTTATGTAAGTTAAACTACCAACATGTAGTTATTTTAACAGTATATTTTTAGAAATTGTCTTGAACTGTTATTTCTTTAATATACTTCAATTTTAGAGCAATTATAGAATTATTTATATCAGCATTCAACTCACAGATACTTCTTTTATAGTTTGGTTTATAATCTGTAATACTACCTTATTCATTTTGCTGTTTACATTGAGATATGTTTCTTCTATTTCCAGATGTTGAGGGTTTTTTTTTTTTAATGAAAGGGTGTTGAATTTTATCAGATAATTTTTCAGCATCAATTGAAGTGATCATATGGTTTTTGTTTTTCATTGTTAATATGATGTATCACATTAATTAATATGCATATATTCAACCATACTTGCATCACTGAGATAAACTTTACTTGGTCATTATAAATAATCTTTTTAATATGTTGCTGAAATTGGTTTGCTAGGATTTTGTTGAGGATTTCTGCATCACTATTCATTAGTAATATAGGCCTGTAATATTCTTGTTTGATTTGGCTTTGTCTCGTTTTGGTATCAGGATAATTCTGGCCTCATAGAATGAGGTTGGAAGTATTCTCCCCTCTATTTTTCAGAATAATTAGAGTAGAATCAGTGTTAACACTTTTTAAGATTTGTGGTAGAATTCAGGAGTGAAGCCATCAGGTCTCAGGATTTTACTTGCTGGGTGAATTTTCATTACAGCTTCAATCTAATTATTATTATTGGACTACACACATTTTGGATTTCTTCATCATTCAATCTTGATAGGTTGTATATGTCTAGGAATTTATCCATTTCTTTTAAGTTTTCTAATTTATTGGCATACAGTTGCTTTCATCTTTATTAATTCTCTTCTACTAATTTTTGGTTTGCTTTGCTTTGCTTTTTTACATTTTTTAAGATGCAATATTAGGTTGTTTATTTGAATTTTTTTTTTTCTTTTTGATGTAGGCACTTATAACTATAAACTTCCCTCTTAGCACTGCTTTTGCTGTATGTCATCAGTTTGGTTGTATTGTTTCCATTATCATTTGTTTCAAGAAAATTTTCAATTTCCTTCTTAATTACTTCATTTACCCACTTATCATTCTGGAGAATACTGAAGAAAGTCCATGTGATTTTATAGTTTCCAAAATTATTCTTGTTATTGATTTCTAGTTTTACTCCATTGTGGTCAGAGAAGATGCTTGATTTTGTATCAATTTTTTAAAATGCTTTTTCTCTTTTTTTTTTTTTTAATTTTACTTTAAATTCCAGGATACACATGCAGAATCTGCAGGTTTGTTACATAGGCATATGTGTGCACTGGTGGTTTGCTGCACCTATCAACCTGTCACAGGTTTTAAGTCCCACATGCATTATCTATTTGTCTTGATGCCCTCCCTCCCCTCGCCCTGCCCCCAAACAGGCTCCAGTGTGTGTTGTTTAAAGGCTTGTTTTGTGATATAACTACTGTCTATGCTTAAGAATGATTTATGTTCTAAAGACATAAATATTCTCTACCTGTTTGATGAGTTGTTTTATAAATATCTATTAAATTTTATTTTATCTATAATTCAGATAAATTCTGATGGTTCTTTGTTGATTTTCTATCAGAAAGATATTTTCAATGCTGAAAGTAGAGTGCTGAAGCCTAAAGCTATTATTGTATTGGTGTCTATCTCTCTATATAGCTCTTGTAATATTTGCTTTATGAATCTGGGTGGTCCACTGTTGGGTGCATATACATTTAAAGTTGTTATGTCCTCTTGCTGAATTGACATCTTTTTCTTTATAGAGAGACATTCTTTGTCTCTTCATATAGTTTTTGTTTTGAAAACTATTTTGTCTGATATAAGTATAAAAATTCCTCTTCTTTTTTAGTTTATATTGACATAGAACATATTTTTTAATCCCTTTATTTTCAGTCTATGTGTGTCTTTACAGGTGAAGTGTGTTTCTTGTAGGCAACAGATTATTGGGTCTTGTTATTTTTTTCTAGTCAGCTACTCTGTGTCTTTCCATCAGAGGGTTTAGGCTATTTACATTCAGTGTTACTAATGATAAGGACTTATTCTTGCCGTTTTGATATTTA